GCATCTGGCTCCGAAAAGTGTCGGTTGCATCGGCATCATCGGAAGCGGCGTTCAGGCAAGGTTGCAGGCCGACTATCTGCGCCGGGTCACTCCATGCCGCAGGCTGATGATCTGGGGACGGCGCGACGCCTCCCGCAGCGCGGCTGCGCGGGACATCGCGGCGATGGGCTATGCGGTGGAGGAGGCTGGCTCTCCGGACGACGTTGCCAGACACTGCCGGCTGATCGTCACGACGACACCGGCCGAGACGCCGTTGCTGTCGGCCGACATGATCGCGCCGGGCACACACATCACCGCGATGGGTTCGGACACGCCGGACAAGAACGAACTGTCGCCCGATCTTCTCGGCCGCGCCGATCTTGTCGTCGCCGACAGCATCGCCCAGTGCCAGGAACGGGGCGAAATCTTTCATGCACTTGGTGCCGGTGCGATCGGCGAGGACGATGTGATCGAACTTGGAACCATCATCGATGGCGGCCATGCGGGCCGGGTCGGCGACGATGCGATCACGGTCAGCGACCTGACCGGTGTCGCGGTGCAGGACATTGCGATCGCCAAGGCGGTTCTCGCGCGGCTGGCGCGATCGTTGGAGGCGGCGCAGTGAAGATCGACACGTTTCTGCTCGAACGCAGCCAGACGCTCTACGAAAACGAGGTCGAGATCAATCTGACCGAAAGCGGCGTCCATCACGCGACCATGGCCGATCTGGTGCCGCCGGACGATATGGACGCCATCCGCGACCTGCCGCTGGGCTATGGCTACACGGACGGGACGCCGGCGCTGCGGCAGGCCGTGGCCGACTGGTATCCGGCGTCGTCGGCGGAAAACGTTCTCATCGCCAACGGCACCAGCGAGGCCAACATGCTGGCGCTGATGAGCCTCGCCGACCCGGGCGATCACATGGTCATGCTGACGCCCAACTTCATGCAGCTGGACGGGCTGGCGCGGGCGCTCGGGGTCGAGGTCACGCGCGTTCCGCTGCGGCCGGAAAACGGTTGGCAACCGGACATGGACGATGTTCGCGCGGCGATAGGGCCGGCGACAAAGCTGGTGACGCTGTGCGACCCCAACAATCCCACCGGCGTGCTGATGCGCGGCGAGACGCGCCGCGCCCTGGCCGCGCTGACGGAGAAGGCCGGTGTCTGGCTTCTGGTCGATGAAATCTACCGTGGTTCGGAGATCGACGGTCGACCGCCCGCCACCGCATGGGGCCTTGGCCGCAAGGTGATCGCCACCGGAGGTCTTGCCAAATCGTTCGGGCTGCCGGGCCTCCGCATGGGATGGTGCATCGCGCCGCCCGATCTGGTCACGCGCATGCATGAACGGCAGGACTACACGACCATCGGGACAGGACCGCTGGCCCAGGAACTGTCGCGGCGGGCGCTGACCAATCCGGTGCGCGACCGGTTGCTGGCGCGCGGCCGCCAAATCCTGTCGGCTGGACGCGGCCGGGTCGAAGATTGGTTGCGCGGACGCAACGGCTGGTCATTGGTGCAACCTGAAGCCAGCGGCATGGCGTTCGTGGCATACGATCTCGACATGGACTCCGAACGGTTCGTGCACGAACTGCGGGACCGGACCGGTGTCTTCGTGTGCGCCGGCGACTGGTTCGGCATTCCCCGGCACATCAGGATCGGGTTCGGCGTCGACCGGTCCGATTTGGACATGGGGCTGGAGCGCATCGACGCGTTCGCCAAATCCCATGCCGGGTGAACCGGTTGTCGAGGCCGCCGGACTGAACGTCCGGATCGGGGATTTTCCGGTCCTGACCGACATCGATCTGACGATCCGCAAGGGCGAGAAGATCGTGCTGATCGGCCCGTCCGGTTCGGGCAAGACCAGCCTGTTGCGCGTTTGCGCAGGGCTGCTTTCGGATCGAAGCGGGCGGTTCGAGCTGTTCGGATCGGTACCGGCCACGCCCGGGCAGTGGAGCAAGGCGCGCCGGCGCATGGCGATGATCTTTCAAAGCTTCAATCTCTATTCGATGCGCACGGCGCTGGACAACATCACCTTCGCGGCTCGTGAATTGCGTCTGGGCAGCGAAGCCGAACTGAACGAACGCGGCAGGGACCTTCTCGAACTGGTGGGTTGCCATGGATTGGCGGACAGATACCCGTTCGAAATGTCGGGCGGCCAACAGCAAAGGATCGCCATCGCACGGGCACTGATCGGCGATCCGGAATTGCTGCTGCTCGACGAGCCGACGGCGTCGCTCGACCCCGAGACCATCGCCGGCATTCTCGATCTCTTGACGCAAGTGGCCGAAGGCCGGTTCAGCGGACGCCCGATGACGGTTCTGTGCGCCACCCACGAGATGGGCTTCGCCCGGCGTATCGCCGACCGCGTGCTCTTCATGGAAAAAGGATATGTGGTCGCATCGGGAACCAGCCGGCAGATGTTCGGCGGCGGTGTCAGCGACCGGTTCCTGGAGTTTGTGGGAGCGATGGCCCATCAACGGCCGTAAGCCCGGGGGCGGTCTTTCCGGCGCGCGGCCGGGCCCTTTCCGCCTTGCGCCGGAGTTCCGGCGACAAGCGGACCTCCAGCAAGGCCATGAAACTGCTAAGCGCCAGGATCAGAACCAGGAAGATCGCGCCGGCGATGAGCAGCGGCGTGATCGGGTCGTAGGTCCGATAGTAGACACCGCTTGCTCTGGCCATCAATTCCTGGATTGTCACCAGGCTGGCGATGGAAGTCGCCTTGACCACGAAGATCATCTCGTTGCCGTAGTTGCGCAGACCCAATCGGATCGCGTTGGGTGCGATGATCCCCTTGATGACGGTCCATCGCGACAGCCCGGCGACGTGGGCCGCTTCGATCTCACCCCGGGGGACGGCACGCACGGCCCCGACGATGACTTCCGTCAGATAGCCGGCGGAATTGAGCGACAGGGCCAGGATCGCGCAGAAAACGGGGTGTTGGAACGCATGCCACAGAAACGTGTCGCGCACGATCGGCAGTTCGGGCACGCCATAGTAGATCAGGAACAACAGAACGAGCAGCGGCGCACCGCGAAAAACGAAGACGAACGTCAGGCCGAACCCATTCGCCGCCCGGTTCCGCGAAAGCCGGCAGGGCACGATCATCAAGGCGATGATCATCCCGAAGAACAGAACCGACACGGTCAGCAAAAGCGTCCAGGCGAGACCCTCGGCGAAGCCCGGCAGCGTGGAGAGAAGCGTCTCGAAGTCCATGATCATGGCGACCAACTCCCCTGTTTGGGCAAATGGCGCGTCAGGTTGCGTTCGAGCCGGATCTGCCCCCAGAGCGAGACGGCGGACACAAACAGATATGCGATCAGCGCAGCGGTGAAGAACGCGAAATAGTGTTTGGTGTTCTGCCCGGCGGTGTTGGCCTGCCCGATCAGATCGGCAAGACCGATCGCGGAGACGAGCGGGGTGTTCTTGATCATCACCATCCACAGGTTGGACAGGCCGGGAAAGGCGTATCGCAGGGCGACGGGAAAAACGATCCTGTGGAATGTCACGAACGGTGTCATGCCGAGCGAGCGGGCTGCTTCACGCAGTCCGGTCGGCACGGATATGATCGCGCCGCGAAACACCTCGGCCGTATAGGCGCCATGCACGAGCGCCAGCGCCACGACGCCGGCCGTGAAAGCATCCAGCGATACGCGCAGGTCGATGCCGATCAGCGCGAACGTCGAACGGATCATCAGCGCGGCGCCGTAGTAGGTCAGAAACAGGATGAGAAGCTCGGGCACGCTGCGAAAGATCGTGCCGTATGCCGCTGAAACCGGCCGCAGGATGCGCGATTTCGACAATAGCGCCAAGGCCGCAAAAAGCCCGATGACCGTGCCGATCACATAGGCGGCAATGGCCAGCGTCATCGTCAGGGCAAAGCCCCAGAGCAGTTCGTCGCCCCAGCCGTTGGCGCCGATCGAAAACAGTGTCCAGTTCATCGCGCCGGCCAGCCCTCGGTGATGGTCTCGCAGACATAACCGATCACAGTGTTGCCCTCCATATCGGCATCGCATCGTCCTGTTGCGGCGATGCAGGCAAAAATGCCAGTGCATTGCGCGGTCAGATCGACCGGCGCGGAAAGATCGTCGGGATGAAGTCGGGCGACCGTCTGGCCCCTGGTCACCGCATCGCCGAGTTGCGCCACCGGCTCGATCACGCCGACCGCAGCGCAGGTCACCGTGTGCCGTTCGCCGCTCATTTCGAGCAGCGGGCCCGGCGATGGCGGCGGCGCGCCCCCCTCCATCAGGCCGATCGCGCCCAGAAGTCGGATGACGCCATCGCGTGTCGCCGCCATCGATGCCGCGCTGACGCGGCCGCCGCCGCCAAGTTCGGTTGAAACGGCATGGGCGCCAAAACTCTTTGCGTGATGCTCCAGCGTGCCGGTGTGCGGCATGGAATGATCCGATCCATCGAACACCAGCGAGAAGGGCGCTCCGAACGCATGCAGATAGGGCCGCATGGTCAGGTCATCGTCCGATCCGACGGCAGCCTGGACATTGCCGCTGACAACGAACTCGTGGCTGACCCCGCCCGAATGCAGGTCGATCACCCAATCGGCACGGGGCAATATGGCATCAGTCACAAAGTCCGAGATGAGCTTGGCGCGGCCGGTGGCCGATCCCCTTCCGTAGACGCGGTTGATGTCCTGTCCGGCATCCGCTGGGTCGGTGCGGCGTCCGGCGAGACATGCCCCCGGATTGTGGCGGGGCAGGCAGATGAGGGTGCCGCTTATGTCCAGCGCGTCGAGACGGCGCACCATCTGTGCAACGACGATCTGGCCTTCATATTCGTCGCCGTGCGTGCCGCCGACCAGAAGAACGGTCGGCCCCTCGCCCTGGCGCTTGACGCTGATGGGCAGATCGCCGGGGCCGATCCCGTGCCGGACGCCCTGCGCACCGGTGATGTCGGATATCTGCATCGGCGAATTTGCAGCCATGGCCGAACCCTATCAGCGGGTGCGACCGCCTTGACCCGGGATGGTGCGGATTGTACTTCGATTTTGTCGAAGTAATCGAGTGAACCATGGTCGGTCGCGTCAGCGACATCGATATACGCCTGCTGCGGATCTTCGTCGCGGTGGTTGACGCGGGCGGCTTTTCGCTGGCCGTGGCACGCCTCAATCTCGCCGAATCCACAGTCAGCCAGCACATGGCCGATCTGGAGACGCGTTTGGGCCTGCGCCTTTGCGAGCGCGGCCGCGGCGGCTTTCATGTCACGCCCGCCGGCGAGGAAGTCTACCGGCTGGCCATCAACATGCTGCTCGATCTCGAGGAGTTTCGCGACCAGCTCACCTCGATACGATCGGGGGTGGCCGGCACGCTGCGGATCGGTTTGCCCGACGGGATCATCGGCGACCCGCACTTTCCGATTGGCCGGCAACTGGCCCAGTTCCTCAAGCGCTATCCGGAGATCCAGCTTGAGATCAACATGCGCTCGCCACGGGTGCTCGAGCGCTCGGTTCAAGATGGCGATCTCCTTTTGGCGATCGGGCCGCGCCACCGTCGCGTTTCCGGCCTGCGCTTCGTGCCGATCTATGCCGAAGCCAATTCGCTTTACTGCGGGCGCGGCCACGACCTTTTCGGCGTGCCGCCCGAGAAGCTGGCGGCCAAGGATGTCGAGCAGTTCGACCGGATTGCGCGCGGCTATCTGGACCGTTTCGATGCCCAGTTCTTCCGCGACCAGACATATCGGATCACCGTTCATCAGGTGGAAGCGGCGGCCATGATGATCCTGGCGGGCGCCGGCATCGGCTTCCTGCCCGATCATTTCGCGGCCGCCTATGTGGAGCGGGGCGAGTTGTGGCGGGTCAAACCCGACCACTTCCGGTTCGACAGCGACATGGGCGCGATTTTGCATCCGTCGAAATCGGACGAACCGAAGGTCTCCCGCCTGCTAAAGATGCTGGATATCGGCTGACCGGACCGAGGGTGGTGAGCTCGGCACGAAAGTTGTGCCGATGGTCGCCGGTCTGGCCCCTCGATGACAAACTCGCAGCGATCACCACGCCTCGCCGAACTGCGCGAGCGTGTGCGCTTTCCGACCGGGCCAGGCATGGCAAGGCCGTGAGCCGCGCCCGGCGACAGTCTTGTCCCGCATCGTTCGCGCCGGACAATTCCGTAACTGTGGCAGTCGCCTACCATGCGACTGGTCAGGCCTGCTGAGCGCCGGCCCAAGCCGGAAAGCCTGCCGCACGGCAGCCGATCAGCGATTTCACACGCCGCTTTCTCGGCGCGAGCGGCGACCAGACCAAGGACACAGGTCCAGTACGCTCGTTCCAGCCGGGAAGCAGGTTGCGAAGGCGCCCGTCGCGCAGTTCGGAGACGACTGCAAAGCTGGGCAAAATGACCGATGCCAGCGCCCTTGGCGACAAGCGTGAGCGCACAAAGGCCGCTGTTGGTGCGACAGCGCGGATTGATCGACAGGCGACGCTGGCGGCCTTCCGGGCCCGACAGGAGGACTTCGGGAGCCGTGATTGCCCCGCCTGAACGGTCCGGTTTGATTGTGGTTTATGACCAGCCAATGGTCCATCGAGACTATGGTTTCCGGGGCCGATGCTCGGACAGGCGCCGCATTTACACAGTCATGCCCGGGCCAACCGCGTCGATATCCCCCTGCGACGTCGAGCGGTATGTCGGTGAAGCACGCAGGTGCCACGAGGTCATGGAAACGCGGCCCGCCGGCCGTCAACGGGTCGCCGATGCCCTGACCGCTGATGGCGATGTGCTTGCACACCTTTTGTCGCGGGAACAGGGCAAGCCATCGGCCAAATCGCAGGCCGGGGTCAGTGGCGCCGGCTTCTTCATCAACGGCTTTGCCGATCTCGATCTCGTACCGACGGTCCATCGCGATGCGGACGCGCAACATGTACGCGCCGAGCGGCGCCCCATAGGCGTCGTCGGCGCAATCACGGCCTGGAACTATCCGGTTCTGCTCGGCGCATGGACGATCGTCCCTGCCGTCCTGACCGGCAACGCCGTGATCCTGAAACCGGCGCCAACAACACAGCTGGCCACGCTCAGGAAGGCCGAGATCGCCGATCGGATATTCCCGCCGGGCATGGTCACAGTGCTTGCAGGCGACGACAATCCCGCCATGGCTGGAAGCCGGTTCGGTCTGGATCAACCGGCACCCCTCCACGGGACCCGAGATCACGTTCGGAGGCATCAAGCAGTCCGGCATCGGCGTTGAATGCGGTGTTCGGGGTCTGGAGGAGCAGACTTTCCGTTCGTCCTGAACGTCAAGAAGGGATGACCGGGCCGGGACGCGATCCGGTCAGGCGGGTCAGAACTCGCCGAACAGGCCCGCCCGCGCCGCCGGCAGGCCGTCGGCGTTGAGGCTGAAGGCGGCCGTGATGCCGCTGGGCCTCGGCGTGTCCAGCCGGTGTGCGACGGCGAAGCCGCTGGCCCACTCGGACTTGTAGACCCCCATATTGGCCGCCCAGGTGGTGCGGCCGGGGGCCGACGGCATCGGCGCATTGGCCATTGCCATAACCGCTGCGATGCCGCGCCGCGATTCGGTCTGGACCTGGTCGATGCGGCGGTTCAGATTGTCGATGTCCGCCCCGACCGCGCTGGCAAGGTCGCCCAGCAGCGACTGCAGCGGCACGGCGGCGAGGTTGCCGCCGGCGTCGGTCGTCACGATCTGCGTCGGTCCCGATTGCGCCGCACGGCTTGCGTCCGAGGCAATGCCCGGCATCGTGTATGTGTTGGCCCCCGTTCCGATGACGATCTGGTTGGCGCGGCCGGTGCTGGCGCCGGCGCCCAGCGCGGCCGACCCCGCATGGGTCGCCGATGCGCCATGCCCGACAGCGGTCGCGCCGCTGCCCGAAGCGACCGAGCGCGCACCTTGGGCCACCGACCGGTCGCCATTCGCCTGGGCGCCGGCGCCGGTTGCCGTCGCATCGGTGCCCGCGGCCCCGGCGCCCCAGCCAACGGCCAAAGCGTCGTCGCCCGTTGCCGCCGCTGCCGCAAGGCCCGACGTATTGTTGGCGGCGATCACGCCGAAGTCGCCATCGACCACCGTCAGCGCCGTATCGAGGGCGGCCAGCGCCGATCCGACATCGTTGTGGGTCGTCCCGCGGATCGTGAAACCGGGATCGGTGAAAAGGCCTGTGGCGGGGTCGAACGCCGCGCCGCCTCCGAGCGCGCCGGCCAGATTGTCGCCGACCGCACGCAACTGGCGCAGATTGACCGCATCGGTGTCGGCGGTACCGCCGGCGACGTTGGTGATCTGCCGTTCGCCGCCCGCCGTGCCGACCGAAACCGCGCCGGCCGACGAGGCCACGGACGTGCCGGAAAACGCCTCATCGGCGCCCGCCATGCCGGTTCTGCCGGCCACCGAGCCCGCACCGAGGGCAAGACCGCCCGCCGTGGTGACCGTGCTGTCGCGGCCGATCGCCACGCCGTCGATGGCGGTCACGGTGCCACGCAGACCAAGCGCAACGGCACCGGTCGCGCCGGCTGCGGTGTTGGCGCCGTTGCCGATCGCGATCGCGTCCGCTTCACCTGCCGATGCCAGCGGGTTGCCGGTGCCGCCAAGACCGTCGATCGAGCCGCCGCCCATGGTGATGCCTTCGCCGTTGTCGATGTCCACGCCCTGCGTGCGCAGCTGGCAGCCCGACCCGAGAGCCACAGCATTTCCGTCCGTGTCCAGAACGCTCAGCCCGATGTTCTGGCCGCTCAGCGGCGCCTGAATGTCGGTGTTGATCTCGCCGATGATGAGATTGAGCACCGGATCGAGCAGGCCGCTCAGCAGGCCGGACGCCGCGTTGCTGACAGGATCGAGCACCGGCAGATCGACGCTCAAGCCCGAGCAGACATCGACAAGCGCCTGCGAACGGGCCGGTCCGGCGAACCATGACAGTGCGGAGGCGCAACAGGCCAGGGAACAGATGACGATACGGACGCGACACATGGGCAGGCCTCGATACACGCAAATGTTGCACTTGACGCTACGTCATCAACCTTAACGATTATTTCCAGCGACGTTCCCGCATGAGGCGAATTCGGTTGTGTTCTTCCCCCTCGTCAACCTGCCATTAACCCTCATCGCAGCGCATGGCCGTTGCGATCTCCGGTTAACCCTTTGTCACCGGCAGCCCGCGCATAATGGCGCCAGATCAATCTGGACAGCGGCAATGCAGACCATTTCGACAACCAGGCAAGGCGCCGTCACGGTCAACCAAGGCGATGCGGCCGGTGACGGCCCCGATCACGCCGTATGGCTTCCGGCGCTGGCGTTTGCCGTGGCGGCCGGCACATTTGCGCTCGGCCAGTTTTCTTTTGCTGCGGCGTTGAGCGTGGCCGTGGCCGCATCGGCCGGTTCTGCACTGATCGCGGTCGGGCGCGGTGCGGAACGGTTGCGGGCGCCACTGTTCGTGGACCGCCTCGCCCAAGGCTGCCTCTGCGCGGCGCTTCTGTGGGCCGCCCAGCTGCTGACCGCCGGATTGCTGCCGGCGGGCATGGGCCTTGTTTCAACCGGCCTGACCGTTCTGGCCCTGTTCATGGCCCTGTCGGCCCTCGAAGCGATGGCGGCCGCCGGGCTTTGCCTTGCTGCCCGGCGTGGCCTGGGCGGGTCGATCGCCGCGGCGATCGTGCTCGACAATCGCGGCTTTGCGAGCCTGGGCGCGCTTCGCCGCTGACCGACGGCTTTCCGGTTCACCGAGAACGCAAAAAAATGGCGGGCGCGGACAACTCTTTCCGCGCCCGGCATGTCTGCTGGTGTCGTGTTCGTTCTTGAGCCGGAATTTGTGTGTCGCGCCGCTTGTCAGAAGCCGTAGTCGAGCTTCGACATGGCGATCGCCGTTTCCAGCGCGAGTTGCCCGGACACGGCGAGCGGCACCTTCTTCTCATACATTGCCGCCGCCTTGACCGTCGCCAGCGCAAAGGCCTTCTGGGCGGTCGTTTCGGCCTCGGGCGCGTTGCGCAGGCAGGTCAGTGTGTTCTCCCACAGCATGATCAGCAGGGCCTGTGGCGGGATTTCCGGCATGTGCTTTTCGGCAACCGTATAGTCGGGATAGGCGGGCGCGTTGATGGCCATGAAATTGTGCTGGATCATTGCATTGATGTGCGGCAGCCAGCCGGCACCGGCGGCCATCATCTCGGGCACCAGCGTGGCGGCGTAGCTGTCGCCGGTCAGATCGTGAACGTGGCGATCGACATGGGCCGACACGGTGACACCGGGCCGGCGGACACCGGACGGCGTGCGGAAATCGTCCGCGATCAGTCCGGCCTCGATCTCGCGGCGCACGATCCAGCGGGCCGAGCGGCCCGCGAGCGCACCGAAGGCGGCAATAAAGCTCTGCGGGTGAATGCCCTTCGGACCGTCCAGCGACGTCGACACCAGTTGAAAGAGCTGCGCGGAGAGGCGCGCCGGATCGGGAAGACCGGCATCGGCCGGCGTCCTGCGATTGGTGTTGGCCGGACCGGGTCTTTCGGCGGCCATGCCGGCGAGAACCGGATTGAGTATCGTTGCGCTCGCAGCAACCATTGTTGCGTCCCCCTGAAGCAAGTGAGGCCACGATAACAGGCAAACGCCAAGCCCCGGCTAAGGCGATGTTTACAATTTGATGAAAAAATTAACGGGACAGTAAGCACGCCCCATGCGCGTGCCGACCATGCAGGATGAGCCGATGAACGCCCTAACACAATTGATCGACCGCTGGACCGAGGCGCTGACGCCGGAGCATCTGCGCCAGGACATCCAGGTCTACAAGCGCGTGCGCATGTTCATCCTGTCGCACCTGTTCGGCCCGTTCCTCGGCCATCCGGTCACGATCTACCTGTTCCTGAACGATCCCAATCCGTGGCCGCATGTGCACATTCTGGGCCTTTCGGTGACCTTGTTCTGGTTCTTCCCGATCGCCCTTCAGTTCTTTCCCCGGCGGTACGAGCTGCTGGCCATCACCTCGGTCGCCAACCTCAATTTCGCGATCCTGATCACCGCCTATCATTTCGGCGGCGTCTCCTCGCCGCTCTTGATGTGGTTCCTGGTCGTGCCGCTGCTCGCCTTTTTCTATCTGGGCTCCGGCGTTCGCACATCGGTCGCGATCTTCGCACAGATCGTTATCGGCCTTGCCGCGTTCTACGCCGTCTACCTGATGAACCGCTCTTTCCCGATGCACATTCCGCTCGAGGAAATGGTCGATGTGACGATGATCTCGATGCTTTGCGCCTCGCTCTACATCTTCTTCATGGCGAGCTATTATGCCTCGGTCGTCGACTCCCAGTCCGAACTGCTCAAGGAGATCGACCGGCACCAGGCAACGATGGACGATTTGACGGCTGCCAAGGAAGAGGCCGAACGGGCCAACGGCGCCAAATCGGAGTTCCTGGCCAAGATGAGCCATGAGCTGCGCACGCCGCTCAACGCCGTGCTCGGCTACAGCGAAATCCTGCTCGAAGACGCCGAACTGGACGGCAATGGCGAGCAGATCGCGGACCTGCAGAAGATCTCGGCGGCGGGCAAGCACCTTCTGGCCATGGTCAACGACATTCTGGACATCTCCAAGATCGAGGCGGGCAAGACCGAACTGTTCCTTGAAGATGTCGATCTCGACCAGCTGATCGAGGAGATCGAGGTGACCGCGCGTCCGCTGGCCGCCAAGAACACCAATGTCTTCGAGGTGATCAAGGACGGCGAGCTGGGCACCGCCCATCTCGACCTGACCAAGCTGCGTCAGGCGACGTTCAATCTCCTGTCGAACGCATCCAAGTTCTGTCAGAACGGCAAGATCACGCTGGAGGTCAAGACGATCGAGCAGGATGGCCGGCCGATGCTTTCGATGGCCGTTCACGACACCGGGGTCGGCATCTCCGAGGAGGCGCTTGCCAGCCTGTTCCAGAACTTCACCCAGGCCCATGCGTCGATCAACGCCAAGTTCGGCGGCACGGGTCTGGGGCTGTCGCTGTCGAAGAATTTGTGCCGCCTGATGGGCGGCGACATTACCGCCGACAGTGTGCTCGGCGAAGGTTCGGTTTTCACCATCACGGTGCCGATGCGGGTGGAAGCGCTCGCGCCGGCAGAGATGAGCGAGGAAGCGGTGGACGAAACCCTCAAGGACGCGGCCGCCGAACTGCGCAAGCTCAACGAGGCCGACCAGATGCTGTCGACAAGCGCCGACGCGAACTCCCCGTCGCTGGGCACCGTGCTCGTTGTCGATGACGACCCGGAATATCTCGAGATCATGGACCGGATGCTGCGCAAGGAAAACCTCAACCCGATCCTGACGTCCGATCCGGCCAGTGCGTTGCATCTGGCCCGGACGGTTCGCCCGGCGCTGATGCTGATCGACGTGCTGATGCCCGATGTCGATGGCTGGGAACTGGTCGAGACGATGAAGAACGACCCGGTCACGCGCGACGTTCCCACGATCATGGTTTCGATCATGGACGATCCGAAAAGCGGCGCGCCGCAACTGGCCGACGGCTTCATGAGCAAACCGGTCGATTCGGCCAAGCTGCGCAAGGCGCTGCAACTCCATCTCGGCAAGAAGGCCGCGTAGACAAGAGCAGGACGAGACGATGACGACCGTACTGATTGTGGAAGACCATCCGACCAACCGCGACATAATCGGGCGACGGCTGGGCAAGCGCGGGTTTACGATCCGTTTCGCCGTCGACGGACTGTCGGCGATCGACAGCGTCCAGGAAATCAAGCCCGACATCATCCTGATGGATATCGGCCTTGGCGACGGCATCGACGGCTGCGAGACGACGCGGCGGATCAAGACCATTCCCGAGGTGGCCCACATTCCGGTGATCGCGCTGACGGCGAGCGCGTTCGAGACCGATCGCCAGAACGCCCTGTCCGCCGGCTGCACGGATTTCGACACCAAGCCGGTCGACCTGCCGCGCCTTCTGGGCAAGATGAACCAGGCGCTGCACGCCTGACGCCGATCGACCGCCGGGCGCACGATGGCCCGGGCTGTCGACGGGACGTCTCACACCTTTGACGACGTACGAAAAACCCGGCGCGAATCTCGCGCCGGGTCTTGTCTTTCGGGCTTGTCCGCCGTGGCGCTCGATCAGGCTGCCTTGGCCATATCCCGGTCGAGCAGAATGTTGCGCAGAACCGATATGTCGAGCGGCTTCTGCAGGCTGTGCGTGGCGTCCAGGCCCAGTTCAAGCGCACGCTGGCGCGTCTGTTCCAGAACGGCCGGCTCCTGTCCGCTGACGATCAGAATGCGGCCGGCATAGCCGTCGTGTGCCAGAAGCTCGAACAGATCGTTCGCGTCGAGGTTCGGCATGCAGATGTCGACTGCCAGGATTGATGGCTTGAGTGCCGTCGTCAGGTTCATCACCCCGCGCGAGTCGGAGGTGGCGAACGCTTCATAGCGGCAGCGCTCGGCGATTCTCACGATCAGCTCGGCCGACGACACGTCGTCGTCAATGGCCAGCAGTCGTTTGGCTGTCTCCAACATGATCAGGCAGCGTCCCGCACACAGTCTGCGAACTGTGCGGCGGCACGCTGGTTCTTCATCAGCGAGGGGTGGTCATCGCACAGAGACAGATATTCCTTCTCCGCGCTGCGCATCGCCTGGAGCATCAGGACGACGAGTTTGTCGACGTCCTCGTGGCTGTGGTCGGACATGACCTGGACGCGGAAACGGGCGCCGCCCTGCGGCACGGCCGGATATTCGACCAGATTGGCGATGGCACCCAGATTGCTCAGATCGCGCGAGGCGATGCGGGCCAGACCTTCGGCGCCCACGCGCACCGGCACGATGGCGGACGGGTCACCCAGCGTTTCAAGACCCACCTTGCCCATCTCCGAGCGCATGTAGAGGATGTTGTCCATCAGCTTGCGCCGGCGATCGCGGCCTTCGGCCGAGTCGACGATCTCGAACGCCGCCAGAACCGTTGCGGCCTGCACCGGCGACAGCGCGTTCGAAAAGGTCTGGGTGGCCGAATAGTATTTCAGATATTCCGCCGTGGCCCGATCCTTGACCGAAATGAAGCCGCCATTGGATGCGAACGTCTTGGAAAAGCTGCCGATGATGATATCGACATCGTGCAGCACGTTCTGCAGGCTCATGTGACCGCGTCCGTCGTCGGCCATCGATCCGAAATCATGGGCGCAATCGACCAGCAGGACGGCGTTGTATTCATCGCACAGCGCGCGCATGGCGGCGATGTCCGGCGTGTCCGAGTGCATCGAGAACAGGCTCTCGGTGACCAGAAGAATGCCGTTCTCCGTGTCGTTTGCGCGGATCTTCTGCAGACGACGTTCCATGGCCCGGACATTGAGGTGGCCATGGAAATGAATGTTGCGGGTCGAGGCGCGGGCGCCTTCCTGCAGGCACGAATGCGCCAGAACGTCCATGACGACATGGTCGTCGGGGCGGACAAAGCCCTGGATGGCGGCAAAGCCGGCCGACCAGCCTGTCGGATAGAGAACCGTCTCGCGGCCGTCGAGAAATTCGGTGATGCGCTTTTCGAGCAGCAGCGAATGGCGCGTGTTGCCCAGAAGCGCTGCCGAACCGGCGCTGTGCACGCCATATTCCTTGATCGCTTCGGTTGCCGCCTCCTTGATGGCGGGATGCGAAGACAGGCTCAGATAGTCCTGGCTGGCGAAGTTGACGCCTTCCATGAGCGCGCCGCCATCGGTCTTGGCGGCACAATGGGTCCGCGGCGCGGTCGCCGTCGATTTGGCATAGGGCCAAAGATCGCAGCGCCGGCGCTCTTCCTGCCAGTGAAAGAAGCCGTCGGTACGGCCCAGCATGTCCGTGCCCTGCTTGGCCTTGAAGTCGCGCAGGCTGCCGGTCAATGCGCCAAATGAAATGTCGTCGAACTGGTTCGCTTGAATGGTTTTCGTCATGGTCGCCCCCATCGTTTTTATGCGGCGAGACTAACCCAGCGGCGTGAAGTCCGGCTTAAGTGCGAGGGTAAACGGTCGCTGAATGCCGCAATGGTGAATCGGTGATGACCGCTGTCCGAAATCGAACGATCCGGAACCCGTTTGCGGAACAATTGCTTAACCCGGCAACGCTAGATTGCATGCCGCGGGGGGACTGGATGTTCGGCATGAGTTTGACCAATCGGGTCAGCACATTTTTGCAAGACCTGACCGGTGGCGCCGATCTGGTCGAAGCGCAGAAGACGGCGGTCGTTGCCGCGCAGGTTATGACGATACTGCGTCACCTGCCGGTGATGGCCATCTCCGGCGTGATGATTGCGCTGATCACCGCCTATGTGGCCTGGGACCATGCCAACTTCACCGTGTTCGCCATCTGGCTTGGCGGCTTTGTCTGCCTCGAAGCGGTGATGCTGGCGCTTTGGTGGAAGAACAGAAACCGGGCGCCCGAAACCCTCGCCGAAACGGCAATCGCGGTGCGCAGGACGGTCTGGTATGCGGCGGCGATCGGCCTGTCCTGGGGCAGTCTTGCCGCACTGCTCATTCCTTACGTCGCCGCGGACAACACGATCTTTGCGACAGCACTGATAACCTCCGCGATCCTGGTGACGGCATTCAGCCTGATGGCGCTTCTCCCGGCAGTGCTCGTGTTTGTTCTGATCAGCGGGTCGCTGGCGATCGCATCGGCGCTGTTCCATCCGCATGCCGAGGAGTGGCCGCCGATCGTCGGTCTGATTGCCGCTTACATGCTTTTCATTCCGTGGCTGGCCGTTTCGTACGGCCGCGCGTTTCTGCGGCATCTGAAGACCGACATCGAGAACCGGGAGAACGCGCAGGTCATCGGCTATCTGCTCGATGAATATGAGGAGACGGTCTCGGAATGGATCTGGGAGACCGATCCAGCGGGGTGCACTGCGCGCATGTCCTCGCGTCTGTCGGCCAAGCTGGGCACGACCGGTGAAGGGACCGCGCGCGTGCCGTTCGCCACGCTTTTGGGCCTTGTTGCACGGGTGGACGATGCCGGCTTCCAGGAGGTGCGATCGGCTCTCATCGAAGGCCGGGCTTTCTCCGGGATCGAATGCCAGGTCAGGAGCGGCGGCACGGATCAGTACTGGCGCATCTCGGGCCGGCCGATCCGTGACGATGCGGGCACCCCGGCCGGCTTTGTCGGCACGGTGCGCGACATCACCGCCGAAAAGGAAGCCAAGAACCAGATCATCCGTCTGGCGCATCGCGACACGCTGACCGGGCTCTACAACCGCGCCAGCTTCACCGAGCGGCTGGAAAATGCGGTTCGCACGCTGGAACGCTACGGCACGCCGTTCACGCTGCTTTTTCTCGATCTGGACAAGTTCAAGCTGGTCAACGACACCTATGGCCACCCGGTCGGCGACCGCCTTTTGGCCGAGGTGTCCAAACGCATCCAGGCGATCGTGCGCAAGGATGACTGCGTGGCACGGCTGGGCGGCGACGAGTTCGCCATCATCCTCGAGCAGAGCAATGACGCCGTCTTCGCCGCCAAGCTGGCCTCGCGCCTGATCGCCAGCGTGCTCGAAGCTTATGTGATCGACGGCGAAACGCTTTGGATCGGCGTCAGCGTCGGCATTGCGCTGGCGCCCCAGCACGGCACACGGCCCGAACAAATCCTGCGCAATGCCGATCTGGCGCTCTATCGCGCCAAGGAGGACGGGCGCGGCGTGTTCCGCTACTTCGAAGCGCAGATGGACTTTGCCCAGCGCGAGCGGCGTATCCTAGAGCAGGAGATGCATCAGGCGCTGGAGGACGAAGAGTTCCGCCTGTGCTACCAGCCGCTGATCGGCAGCGAAAGCGGCCGCATACGCGCCATGGAAGCGCTGATCCGCTGGGATCATCCGATCCGCGGCGAGATTTCGCCGGTGGAATTCATCTCGATCGCAGAACAGTCGAACCTGATCGTCGCTATCGGCAAGTGGACGCTTCGCACGGCCTGTGAGGCGGCGACGGCCTGGCCCGATGATGTGTGTGTTGCGGTCAATGTCGCTGTCCCGCACTTCATGCGTTCGGACATCGTCGCCGATGTCGAGGCCGTGCTCCAGGCGACGGGGCTGCCGGCATACCGGCTCGAAATCGAGATCACCGAAAGCCTGCTGATCGAGGATTCCGATGACGTCCTGAACCGGCTCATCGCGCTGAAGAAGCTGGGTTGCGCCATCGTCATGGACGATTTCGGCACCGGCTATTCCAGCCTGTCCTATCTGCTCAAATTCCCGTTCGACCGGCTGAAGATCGACCGTTCCTTCACCAGGGACATCGATACCGGCGAAAGCGCCAAGGCGATCCTGATGGCGATCGCCTCGCTGGGTGAGAATCTCGGCATCAAGATCACCGCCGAGGGCGTCGAAACGGCCGATCAGCTCGATTTTCTGGTCGACATTGGCTGCGACCAGCTTCAGGGCTTTTACTTCTCCCAACCCGTCCGGCACGAAGACGTCGCGCCGATCATGCTGCGCAACTTCATGGATTCCCGGCAGATGTCCCTGCATGCGGAAATTCGCGACGAGCGCGAGACCAGGCGCAACCGCTCTGCGGGCTGAGGCCCGCGGGACAGCCGCGCCTTGTCCGGAATAACACAATCTGGCGGTGCGCGTTTACTTGCTGGCAACCATATGGATTTACCGTGATGGCATATCCACCCTGAAAGGTCGTGATATGCGTAGACTTGTGATCGGTGCACTTGCCCTTCTTCTGACCAGCGGCACGGCCACCGCAATGGACCATTCGGGTTCGGCGAGCGGCCAGTGGACGGGTGCGCAGCTCGGTGTCCTTTACGGCTACAGCTGGATGAAGGACATGAACAATGTCCTGCGGCTGACGGCCGAGGGCGACGGCGATGTGATGGGTGTTTACGCGGCCTACAACCACCAGGTGGGGCATTTCGTCGGCGGCGGCGAAGTCACCTACAGCCGGCACGACAACATGTTCACTGACGGATCGGGTGTGCGCGTCGGCGATGTCTTCGCCGCAAAGCTGCGCGCCGGTGTCGGCTATGACCGTTACAATGCCTATGGCATGGTCGGCGTCACGCACGGTACGACCAACCTGGCCGGTGACGACTGGGGCGCGGTGTTCGGTGTCGGTCTGGATGTGCTCCTGACCCATTATCTGGTCGCCGGCATCCAGTACAACTACTACAACTATGTGGACTTCAACCACACCAAGATCGACGCCGACCTGTCCGAGGTCACCGTCCGTCTCGGCTACAAGTTCTAAAGCGCCGGCAACCGCCCACAAATTGCGGCCTGCCCCTTGGCGCCGCCCGCGCCAAGGCCTAACTCCGTGGTCCGTCAAACGATCATGAGGCAGGGCAATGGGCGATACGAACCGGGTCAATCCGGCCATAGAGACATGGGACGGACCGCTCGGCCTGCCCCGGCAGGAGGCGATCGCCGACAGCGACCTGCCGCCGGCCATCAAGGCCGGTTTCGCCCGTGACCTTGCGGAAGCCGAAGCTGTTGCGGCGAATCCGGAGCCACCGACCTTCAACAACACGATCGAGGCGCTCGAACGGGCCGGCGACCTGCTTGGGAAGGCGGCATCGATCTTCTTTGCCCGCGCCGGCAATCACACCAACGAGACCATCCAGGCCGCCGAGCGGGAATTGGCGCCGCTTTTCGCGCGGCATGCCGGCACGATCGCCCAGAACAAGGCCCTATTCGGCCGCATCCAAACGCTGTGGCAGAACCGCGACGCGCTGGATCTGACGACCGAGCAGACCGAGGTGCTGCGCCGCTATCGCCGGACATTCGTGCGGCAGGGCGCGGCGCTGAAAGGCGAGGCGCAGGCCCGCCTGATCGCCATCAATGAGCGCCTGGCGGAGCTGGGCACCGCTTTCGGGCAAAACGTTCTCGCCGACGAAGCCGGCTGGGCGCTGATGCTGGACGGCGACGGCGATCTGGCCGGTTTGCCGCCCTCGACAGTGGCCGCCATGGCCGCCGCGGCCGCCGAACGCGGCGAAGAGGGCAAACACGCGGTGACGCTGTCGCGGTCGATCATCGAACCGTTCCTGACCTTTTCGACCCGCCGCGACCTGCGCGAAATCGCATTCCGCGCCTGGACCGGACGCGGCGAGACGAACGATGTCACCGACAATCGCCCGATCATCGCCGAAACGCTCAGGCTGCGTGCCGAGAAGGCGCAATTGCTTGGTCATGGCAGTTTCGCCGCGCTCAAGCTCGACGGAACCATGGCCAAGACGCCCGAGGCGGTGAACACGCTGCTTGAAACGGTCTGGGAGAAGGCGCGCGCGCAGGCCGAGACCGAGGCCGCCGACATTGGCGGTCTGATGCGCGAACAGGGCGCCAATCACGATCTCGGGGCCTGGGACTGGCGGCATTATGCCGAGCAGATCCGCGCTGCGCGCTACGCCTATTCGGACGACGAGATCAAGCCATACATGGCACTCGAAAGAGTGATCGAGGCGGCGTTCTACGTCGCCAACCGGCTGTTCGGGCTGACCTTCGAGGAGGTGCCGGGCATTGCCACGCATCATCCCGATGCCCGCGTGTGGCGCGTCAGCGACGCCGATGGCGCACACCGTGCCGTCTTCATCGGCGACTATTTCGCGCGCCCGTCGAAGCGTTCCGGCGCGTGGATGAGCGCGCTTCAGGTGCAGTCCAGGCTGCTCCGGCGCCATCCGATCATCACCAACACGATGAACTTCGCCAAGCCGCCGGCCGGCGAGCCGGCGTTTTTGTCGTTCGACGATGCGCGCACGCTGTTTCACGAGTTCGGCCATGCGCTGCACGGCATGATGTCCGATGTGACCTATCCGTCCGTGTCGGGCACCAATGTCGCCCGCGATTTCGTCGAGTTGCCATCGCAGCTGTTCGAACACTGGCTGACCGTGCCCGAGGTTCTGAACCGGTTCGCGCTTCATCACGAGACCGGCGAGCCGATGCCGAAGGCACTGCTGGACAAGGTGCTCGCCGCGCAAACCTTCAATGCCGGGTTCGACACGGTCGAGTATACGGCGAGCGCGCTGGTCGACATGGCCTATCACCAGGGCGCCGATGCGCCGGCCGATCCGGCTGTCTTCGAGGCCGAAAAACTGGACATGCTCGCCAAACCGGCGGCGATCACGATGCGCCACCGCTCGCCGCACTTCCAGCACATTTTCTCAGGCGATTCCTATGCGGCGGGCTATTATTCCTACATGTGGTCGGAAGTGCTCGACGCGGACGCCTTTTCGGCCTTCGAGGAAGCGGGCGACCCATTCGATCCCGCGCTCGCCGAAAAGCTGGGGCGGCACATCTATGCGTCCGGCGGCACCGCCGATCCCGAAGACGCCTATATCGCCTTTCGCGGCAAGCTGCCGACGCCGGACGCCATGCTGGAAAAGCGCGGGCTGACGTAGCACAGTGACCCAAGAAAACGGACCAGCAGGAGACGGCCCATGCAATGGTCATTTTCGATCGGCACGGTGGCGGGCAGCCAGATCCGCATCCATGTGACCTTCTTTCTTCTGCTGGCCTGGGTGGCGCTGGTCTACATGCAGGAGGGCGGTGCGTCGGCGGCCATTGAGGGCGTTCTGTTCATCTCGGCGATTTTCGCGTGCGTCGTGCTGCATGAACTTGGCCATGCGCTTGCCGCGCGGCGCTACGGCATCAAGACGCCGACCATCACGCTACTGCCGATCGGCGGCGTCGCCTCGCTCGAGCGGATGCCCGAAGACCCGCGCAAGGAGATCGTCGTCGCGCTGGCCGGACCGCTGGTCAATGTCATCATCGCGTTCGTGCTGATCGTCTTTCTGGGCGCCGGGTTGGATCTGTCGACAGCGGCAGCGCTGGAAGACCCGGCCGCCGGCTTTCTGGCCCGGCTCGCCGCCATCAATGTGATCCTTGTGCTGTTCAACCTGATCCCGGCCTTTCCGATGGATGGCGGGCGGGTTCTGCGCGCACTTCTTGCCACCCGCTATTCGCGTGTGCGCGCCACCGAGATGGCCGCCCGTGTCGGCCAAGCCGCGGCTTTCGTCTTCGGCTTTCTGGGCCTGATGAGCGGCAATCCGCTGCTCGTCTTCGTTGCGATCTTCGTCTACATCGCCGCCGCCGGCGAAGCGCAGGCCACCGGCATGCAGGACATTGCCCGTTCGCTGCGGGTGCGCGATGCGATGATCACGAGTTACGAAGCGCTCGGGCCGGGTGCGACGCTCGGCGAGGCGGCCGAACTGCTGCTCAAGACGACCCAGCACGAGTTTCCCGTTCTCGACACGAACGGCACGATGACCGGCGTCCTGCTGCGGCGCGATCTCGTCGCCGGCCTCGAACAGGCCGGGCGCGACGGGCTCGTCGACGGGTTTGTCAATCGCGACGTTCCGGCCATCGCCGAGACCGAAGGGCTGGAGACGGCGCGCGATCTCATCCAGCAAAAGGGCAAGCCGGCGGTTGCCGTGCGCGGCCGCGACGGCATGCTCGTCGGCTATGTCACGATGGAAAATCTGGCCGAACTGATGCTCATCCGCACGGCGGTCGATCACGCGGAGTGAGGTTCCACTCGTCTGGATGCCGCCCTAGATTGGTGCGATGACCGGTCGTCTCGATCCACTTTTTTCCCGAACCCTGCCGGAGGGCGACACGCATCAGCGCGATGTGTGCGACCATTGCGGCTTTGTCGCCTACGAAAATCCGAAGATCGTCGTCGGCTCGGTCGTCACCCATCAGGGCAAGGTGCTGCTGTGCCGGCGGGCGATCGAGCCGCGTCACGGCTACTGGACCGTTCCGGCTGGCTACCTGGAACTGGGCGAAACGCCCGAGGAGGGTGCCCGGCGCGAGGCGCGCGAAGAGGCCAATGCGGATCTCGAACTGCACGGCCTTTTGGCGGTCTACACGGTGCGCCGCCTCAGCCAGGTGCAGCTGATCTACCGGGCGACGCTCGCCGACGGCGCGTTTTCGCCGGGCATAGAGAGCCTTGAGACACAGCTTTTCGACTGGGACGCCATTCCCTGGGACGATCTTGCTTTTCCGACGGTGCACTGGATGCTGGGCCATCAGCGGGCCTTCGAAGCCGGAAAGGGCGTCGGGCCATTCGGCAATCCTGTCGGCGCCGATTGATCCCGCGCAAGAACTGCCGGCGCGGATCGCGCATGATGGGTTACCGGATCACAAGGAGGCCCGCATGCCCGCAGCGACAAATGCGCAAGACCTTCTCGCCGTTTTCGACAAGGAACTGGCCAGGCTTCAAAAGACGCTTGACGGCGTCGACGAAGCCATGGCCAGCCGGCACACGGCGGACGACGCGGTAACCATCAAGGGCGTGATCGCCCACAGGACCCACTGGATCGGCCTGTTCTTTGACTGGTATGCGGACGGCGTTGCCGGAAAGGCCGTCGAAACGCCGGCGCCGGGCGTCAAGTGGAACCAGCTCAAGGCCTACAACGCACCGATCTACGAGGCTGCCAATGGGCGGCGCTGGTCGGATCTCCGGGCCGAATTCGACGCCGCTACGGCGCGCCTGCGGGCGTTCATCGCCGAGAGCGATGACGCGTTGCTCTATGAGCCCGGTCTTTATGACTGGATGAACACGTGGACCATCGGCCGGTGGGCCGAGGCGTCGGGGCCTAGCCATTTCCGCTCGGCCAACAGCTACATCCGCAAGGTGCTGCGCGAGAGCGGCGCCCGGTGAGGCCTTACTCGTCCTTGTCGAGCGAATGGCGCACGATCAGCGGCATCTGCACCAGCGTGAAGGCGATGGTGATGGGCAGATTGCCCCACACCTTGAAGGCGACCCAGAAATCGGTCGAGAAGTTCCGCCACAGCACCTCGTTGACGACCGCCATGACCGCAAGGAACAGCCCCCAGCGGATCGTCAGCTTGTGCCAGCCTTCCTCGTCGATCTGGAACGCCGCGTCGAACACGTAGCGCAGAAGCGAAACGCGGAAGATGAACAGGCCGCCCAGCAAAAGCGCCGAGAACAGGCCGTTGACGATGGTCGGCTTGATCTTGATGAAGAGGTCGTCATGCAGCCAGAGCGTCAGCGCGCCGAAGATCAGCACGACAACTCCGGCGACCAGCGGCATGATCGGAATGGTGCGCGTCAGGAGCCATGACAGCGACAGCGAGATGATCGTCGCCACCATGAAGACCGCGGTCGCCACGAAGATCGGTTCGCCCAGCGCGCCCAGAAAACCGACGCGCTCGGACAGCCATTCGCCACGCGCATTGGCAAAGAAAAACGCCAGAAGCGGGCCGAACTCCAGCGCGAGCTTCAGTCCCGGGCGGACCGCCGGCTTCTCCTTGGGTGTAGGCGCAATCGCTGCTTGGTCAGCCATTCAGGCATCCTCACGGGCGGGCGCGCCGGTGCCGGCGATCGCACGCGCAAAATCTGTGGCGCGGAACGGTTCGAGATCGTCGACGCCCTCGCCCACACCTATAAAGTAGACAGGTAAATTAAACTTTGCAGATATGGCGACGAGAATTCCGCCGCGCGCGGTTCCGTCGAGCTTGGTCATCACCAAGCCGTTGACGCCGGCGACGTTGCGGAAGATCTCGACCTGGCTCAGCGCGTTCTGGCCGGTCGTCGCGTCGAGCGTCTGCAGGACCGTGTGCGGCGCGTCCGGGTCGTGCTTTTGCAGAACGCGGACGATCTTGGCCAGTTCGTCCATCAGTTCGGCCTTGTTCTGCAGGCGTCCGGCCGTGTCGATGATGACGACGTCCGAGCCGTTGTCGCGCGCCTTTTCATAGGCTTCATAGGCAAGGCCCGCCGCGTCGGCGCCCAGTTTCGTGCCGACAAAGGCCGAGCCCGTGCGTTCGGACCAGATCTTGAGCTGCTCGATAGCCGCCGCGCGGAACGTGTCGCCGGCGCCGAGCGTCACCGAAAGCCCGGCTGCGCGCAGCTTGGCGGCAAGCTTGCCGATCGTCGTCGTCTTGCCGGTTCCGTTGACGCCGACAACCAGGATGACGTGCGGCTTGACCGACAGGTCGAGTTCAAGCGGCATGGCCACAGGACCGAGTACCTTCTCGACCTCGGCCGCCATCACATGGCGCACCTCGTCGGGCGTGACGTCGCGGCCAAGCCGCGTCGAGGCCAGCGCATCGGTGACACGCATTGCCGTTTCGACGCCAAGGTCGGCCTGGATCAGGATGTCCTCAAGTTCCTCGAGCGTCTCGTCGTCCAGCTTGCGCCTGGTGAAGACGCCGGCAATGTTGTCGCCGAGTTGGCGCGAAGAACGCGACAGGCCCGAGGTCAGCCGGGCCAGCCAGCCCTTCTGCTCGTCCGACGGAGACGGCGCGACGGGCTGCGGCTCGTCGCCGATCGTCACCGTGCGGGCCGTCGCGGGCAGGTCGTCGGGCGCCAGCTCCGGTGGCGTGACCGGCACCGATGGCGGTTCGACCGGCGGCAGCGGTTCCGGCGTCTCCGGCACTTCGGGAACAGCGGGCTCGGGCGTTTCGGGCGGTGCCGGCGGGACCGGCTCGGGCTCGGCGGGCACTTCGGGCGGCGCCTCGGGGGCCGGCTCGGCAGGCACCTCTTGTGGCTCGGCCGGTTGCGGCTCCGGCGCCTCGGGGATTTCAGGTTCCTGTGGCGTCGGTGCGGGTGAAGGTTCGGCGGGCACTTCGACAGGCGCCGGCGCCGGCACTTCCGCGGGCTGTTCGGGGTCTCCGGCCTGCGCGTTTTCGGCTTCGGCGACCGGCTGATCGGTTGCTGCAGCTGCGTCGGCGGCCAGTTCTTCGGATGCCACGGCAGGGTCGGGCGTCTCCTCGACCTTGCCCTTGCCGAACGAGAAGATGCGCTTGAGAAAGCCGGCCATCGCGTTACTCCGCCGCCTCTGCCATGGCGGCCAAGCCGGTCAGTGCCGTGCCGTCATGGCCCGTTATGGACGTTGCCACCATGTCGCCGGGCGCGCCGGCATGACCGGTAAGCCGCACTGGCGTGAAATCCGGCGCGCGGCCGAAGCCGGGCTTTTCGAGCAGAACCGGCTGGACCGTGCCGGCGAAAGCCGCCAGATGGGCATGCCAGGCCTGCTCGGCCTTCAACCGCAGGCAGGCCGCGCGGTCCTTGACCAGCGCGCGGTCGAGCTGCGGCATCTTCGCCGCCGGGGTGCCATTGCGCGGCGAGAACGGGAACACATGGACCCGCGCCAGTCCGCACGCGTCAATGATCGACAGCGCATTTTCGAACATCGTCTCGGTCTCGGTCGGAAAACCGGCGATCATGTCCGCGCCGAACGAAGCGTCGGGGCGGAGCCGGCGGACGGTGTCGCAGAATTCGATGGAATGGTCGCGCAAATGGCGCCGCTTCATGCGCTTTAGAATCAGGTCGTCACCATGCTGCATCGACAGGTGGAAATGCGGCATCAGCCGCTGTTCGGTGGCGATGGCTTCGAACAACGCGTCGTCGGCCTCGATGGAGTCAATGGAGGACAGACGCAGGCGCCACAAGTCAGGCACTTGACTGAGTATTGTCTTGACCAGTCTGCCGAGCGTTGGATGTCCGGGAAGGTCCGGCCCGTAGGACGTCAGGTCGACGCCGGTCAGCACGACTTCCCGGTAGCCGTTCTCGACCAGCCGGCGGATCTGCTCGACCACCGCGCCCATCGGCACGGACCGCGAATGACCGCGGCCATAGGGGATTATGCAGAAGGTGCAGCGGTGGTCGCAGCCGTTCTGAACCTGCACGAAGGCGCGCGTGCGGCCCTCGATGCTCTCGACCATGTGCGACGCGGTCTCGCGCACCTCGAAAATGTCGTTGACCCGCACTTTCTCGGAGCTGTTGACGCCAAAGTCGGGCATGGCGCGGTAGGACTGGGCCTTGAGCTTGTCGTCATTGCCGATGACAAGGTCGACCTCGTCCATGCCGGCGAAGCTCTCCGGCTCGGTCTGGGCGGCGCAGCCGGTGACGATGATGCGGGCGTCGGGCGCCTCGCGCCGCGCGCGCCGGATGGCCTGTTTGGCCTGGCGGACCGCTTCGCCGGTCACCGCGCAGGTGTTGATCACCACCGCGCCGCCCTCCAGCGCGCCGAGGCCGGCCGCGTCGGCCTGGCGCCGCACGATCTCGCCCTCATAGCTGTTGAGGCGACAGCCGAATGTCTTGACGTCGATGCCCATCAGCCGGCCCCGGCGCCAGCATTGTCGTTGGCGCCTTCCACCTGCCGCTGCCACTGGCCGGTGGCGGGGTCGAGCAGGCCCGCGAACTCGTACTCGGCCGGCCCGGTCATGATCACGTGATCATCGTCGCGCCATTCGATCAGAAGGTCGCCGCCGGGAACCGTGACGGTGGCGGTGCGGCCGGTCAGCCCCTTGCGGGCGGCGCAGACCAGCGCCGCGCAGGCGCCCGAACCGCACGCCTTTGTCAGCCCGGCGCCGCGCTCCCATGTGCGGATGACGATGTGCTCGGGATCGACGACACGCGCGATCGTGATGTTGGCGCGGTCGGGAAAGATCGGATGGTTCTCGAGCAGCGGGCCGAACCGTTCCAGATCGTAGGACCAGACATCCCTGTCGACCCAGAAGACGGCATGCGGATTGCCCATGCTGGCGACCGAAGGCGTGT